TTGTAGAAAATAAACATTAATTAGCAATTTTATACAATGAATACGTTCTGTTTTAATATAAACAAACAAGCTTCGCATGTATTCCTGATTTTAGAAGCTAAATTTCTCGTCTGTACGAATACTTTTTGAGCATTCAAACAATACAATTTTTAATTTTCACTTATTTTTCAGCTGTTATTTTGTATAATTAACACACATCATTTTGGTATATATAATTTTAAGAAACATACAGTTTATTTTATTCTTTACAAATAATTATTCTTTATAAATTATTAATTATCCAACAAGAAATGATCGTTAATTAAACGTCGAATCGACGTCAAATTGGTGTTAAAATCATCAAATTTATGTCGATTCGACATTAATTTGATGACTCATTTCTCGCTGGATAATATTTACTTTATAAAAATAAAATTAAAAAAAAATTTCTCTGTACGAATACTTTTTGTACTCACTGTATATATAATATAATATATCTCAGAATACTAGCACTTTTAAAGCAAAGAAAATTGAAGTTAGTATTTGCCGGATGTATAAATCAACTAAAAAATCTTTCAATCGATTTATGTGTAAATTCATAAAAGTTATAAGCTTCAGTTCTATTATCTATAAAATTCTCATTCAAGAAGATTATCATATTTTTCGTGTATCAACATTTTCTGTGCAGATGAATAAACTTCTCTTTTTTTATTAGATTATGTAAAAAAATAATAATAATAAATAAATGGTATATAACTTGGTATAACAGATTTAAAATGGAAATAATATTATAGAATACTATAATATTTCAGCAAAAATAAAATATACTAAAAAGATAAAATTTTTTTTTTTTTTTTTTTTTTACTTGTTTGTCGTATTTAAAAAATTTATAATCTTCGACCGACAATTTGATATTTTCACAGCCTTTAGAAGTGCGTGAGATAGGTCCGGATCGATGTTACAAAGCGTGTCAGCTCGGAGTGTGGAGTCCGATTTGCAGTAAGAAGCTTCAGGGTATCGTGAAACTCGCCTCGGCGCTCGAGAGTGGCAGATACGTCGCAAGGGACATCGGTAAGTCCTGTTCTATCCCAGGCGTACACGACTCGCGATAGTTTATCGAGGGAGCAAAGCAGGTTTTCCTATCAGTGTGAGAGAAGAGGAGGAGAAGAGGAAGAGAACTTCCGTCGCGAGTTTCCTCTTCTCGCGGAAGAAATAAGCTTCGGCGGGGAAAATCGCCCGCGGCTTCCTACATGTCCGAGAAAGGTCTTTTGGATCCCGGTTAATCGAGCACAACTCGTCGCTCTTCGCGTTCCGACTGAACTTGAAGTAACGGAATAGCCCTCGGGAATTATCGAGTTTAAAGTTTAAGTAGCCAGCGATTTAGAGAGTTTAAGTGTTCATTTTTAATGTTATGTTTCGTGAACAACGTAGCAGGAAAGTATGGAGCTCATTCCCTGTGGCAGTTAACAACAATTGGCGTTTCTACAATATTTGCCATAGCGTTTCAAGGATTTATCCTTTAGCATTTATATGCTTTATTAAGTATACGGCTTTTATACATAAACTTCCATTTCCGCTCAGTTAGCTTGGATAGAACGTATACTATTCGCTTGCTCGTAGAGCAAAACGAGAAAAGTGAATAACGTAATTTTGTAAAGTAAATTTTGATGACCTAGCCATTGCCGCAAGCTCAGTTGAGACTGAATTATTTGCATGTGCCAGAGCGAAAGATAAACAGTAAGCGCACATTTTTCAATATAACTAATCAATATAAATATAGAAAAGATATTTGCAATTAGCAACTTGAGATCTGTAACGCATTTTTTTGTGATGATTTATTCCAAGATATATTAATTTCAACTAAAATTACAATAATAAAGTTTTTTATAATATAATTGCAATATCGACAATGCATTTTATGAGTATTAAAATTTTTCATTTCACACATCTCGCTCGAACAAGGATAATAAAAAAAAGATACAAATAATTAAATAACATAATTTTGCACTGAGCTTATCAAGTGATGGAAATGAATGCTGATGAAAAATATCGTATTTGTTTGAAAATAATTAGCTGAAATATGGTCTTTATATAAAAGAAAAGAGTTCAATCTGTTCGGTTTAGTATTTCAGTTTTATATTTCAATATATTAAACGAACAAATGCGAAGCTTATTCGCAACAGAGAATTGTATGTATGCATGCACAGATTTGGATTGATTAAAATAAATTATTAATAAAATAAAACTCAAATGCAAAAGGCAAATAATTAATTTTTACAAAAAAAAATGCATAAAATAAAAATAGAAATTACAAAAACATATCGCAAATTTTTGTCTTTATCGAATGAATTTTATAAGATAGTAAAATATAATCGCGAAATAAGAAAATAATATCTTCTATCCAATTATTTAGTTATAAATAAAAAAACGAAATCTATCAATTAATTTACGTATTTATTTAATCTATATCTATTTATATCCTATTAATAGTGAGTGGCGCTTTTATTTTGTGTTAAACTAGGTGGTGCAGACCCCGAAAGAATGACTCCCCTGAGAGTGGAGGAATACCTGGCGGAGCTGTTTTGCGGATCGAATGTCACGATGCAAGTGATATCCGATCAGGATACGCTACTTCAGGAATACCCACTATTCGCTTGTGTAAATCGTGCTGCCTCAGTAATACCGCGTCACGCCGGTAGAATTATATTTTTGACTTATGAGCCGCCCGCTTGCGTCTTGGAGACGATCTTGATCGTGGGGAAAGGTGTCACTTATGACACCGGTGGCGCCGACATCAAGTGCCAGGGCATCATGGCTGGCATGTCGAGGGACAAATGTGGTGCGGCCGCTTGTGCCGGATTCATGCAGGTGCTGTGTAATATATCGTCGAGCATTATACGTCGTACTGAAACGATCTCGTTTCACCTCGCTTCTATTAATAATATGTTGTTTTAATCAGCTTCGGTTTTAATCGGCCATAATAAAAGCTGGTAGATTCTTGAGTGATCATCATATGCGAACCGTAATTCTATTTCTTATAGCATTACGGTGTAGAGTATTAATGATCTCGATGCAGGTTCCCTCCCCCCCTTCTCTCTCTCTCTCTCTCTCTCTCTCTCTCTCTATATATATATATATATATATCTATATAAATATATATAATGTGTATATATATATATATATATGTATACGTATATACATATTATACATACATACGTACACATATACATGTACATATATGTATATACATATATCACACCGAGCCTATTATTATATGCACTTATGATCGAGATAAAAGTTTTGAACTAATCAACGCTGTGTAAAAGATCAGGAATTATCATTTTGGACATATATATTTTTGCTAAATCAAGAGTTAAAATGAAACAAATAATGAAACAAAGTAATGCGTTTTTAAAATATTTAATTATACACAAATTATATTTCAAATTATATACGTCTAAGTAAGATCTGTTATATATCGTAGGTAGTAAATTTATTGCAACCACCAACAGTAAAGGTCGTCGTCGCTTTGTGCGTTGTAAGAAATAGCGTAGGCGAGAACTCTTACGTTTCTGATGAGGTAATCACGGCAAAATCCGGTGCAAGGGTACGCGTGGGCAACACGGATGCCGAGGGTAGAATGGCTATGGCCGATGCTCTCTATTATCTCAAAGAAATGGCCCTATGTTCTGTGAATCCGCATCTCTTCACAATAGCTACATTAACAGGCCACGCAGTATTAACTGCAGGTTTAGGATATACCGTAAGTACTGTAAAGTCATATTTGTGGTTATGCTTTTTAACCGCATTTTAGCGAATAACATAATGCATATAGCAATTCGAATTCCCATTACTTCGGATTCCTATTACTTTCGGATATAACATTACTTTAAATGAAAAGAACGAATAATCCCTATATAGTTGTGCTATCACCGCGTAATAATAACAAAACTAGACGTTAAAATCCAAGTGCGAACTGGCAGAAATGTATACAGACAGTTATGTTTGTTGATTCATTGACGAAAGCGTAATTGGACAGGGTTATAAACGATCTAGATATGGCATACAGTTTTCCTGTGTTATATTGAAACGATCTAGATGCAACGTGCAGTTTCCCTGTGTTATATATTGAATCCCGAGCGTATGACATATGATATGATTTTGTTATCAAAATTGCTTGCTAGACGTTAGCTATAATTCATCCTCTGAGGATGCTTTGTTGGTAAAAGATTCTCCGATAAAAGATCCATTTTATCATGTATCCATATTTTCGAAAATACAGAACTTACATTTATATTTATTGCTATAGATTGCTATGGATAATGCTGTGGCACGACTAGCTAGTAATGCAGAAAAGCTTCAAGCTTCCGGCGAAGCTGTTGGCGATCCATTCGAAATATCGCGAATACGTAGAGAGGACTTTCTTGCTCATCAAGGTCGTACGGAAGGTGACGATATTCTTCAAGCACTAAATCAACTTAGTTCGAAAATTCCGCGAGGCCATCAGGGACCAGCCGCTTTTCTAATTAAGGCTTCCGGATTAGACAAGGTGTTATGTTTGTTGTTATTATTGTTTAAGTTTAAGTTTTTATTTAAATTTAACGTGTTTCTAGATGTTATAACGTCGTTCAATAATTTATGACTTTTAGCATGGCAACGAGTCAGAGAAGCCATTAAAATATTGTCATCTGGACATAGCCGGCAGTGCCGGTGATTTTCCCGTACAACCAACCGGATCACCAATTTTAGCATTAGCCAAAATGTTTCTTTTTGATAAAATAGAGACCAAAGATCAGTAATGCTGATATAAGTTGTGATATTTTATGTATCATACATATCTTTATACATATTATATATCATACATATCCTTATGCCATATACCTAAAACAATTAATATTCATGACTGGCAAAGGACTTTGGATATTAACCGGAAATGCAAATAATAATTAATCATCTCTATAAATCCTTGAACCTCAGAGTTCTCATAAGCTATACAACACGGATTTACTTGGAACTCGATAAACTACATTACAGTTAGTATGTAGGTAAAGTAGCGGATTTGCCAATAGGCATTTATCTAAGAGGGCAAAATTTTAGAAGCGACAAATTTTTAAGATATCTTTTTAATATAAAATATTAAAATGAAAATAAATTTATTTTTTATTAAATCATATTTTTTATCAATAAAGGATAAATTTGTTACTCCATATCTACCACAACTCGCTGGCACATATAAAAGAGTACGGAGTGTCTTGCGTCATGACGCTTCGCTTGTCTTAGCGCTCGACACTACCGTGTCTCTAGAATTATTCATAATAATCCCTTTCTTTGTGTAATTTAACTTCTTACACTTCTAACTTACACTTCTTGTAATATTGTTATATTAAATATGAATAATGAATAATAACTATATAGGTAATATCATAGCTATTAAATTTGATTCTAATTCAATAATTAATAGTCATTCTCTCAAATCATGTTGCGAATAAGTACAAGATGAATTATTTGAAGATATTTTCAAATTTTTTTGAATTTTCAGTTATTTTGTATATATCAATCAAGATTATTCATTATCCACTTCATTCGCCTTAATTAAGTACAATGAATCCTTTATAGATGATCGAGTTAATACAGACATCGTGAGCAGACATTAATTGTGGATTAAGAAGCTTTTTCATTACCATTTCAAATTTTCGACGTTTCAAAATTTATTTAATCTCTCTCTCTCTCTCTCTCTCTCTCTCCCCCTCTCTCTCTCGCTTTCTCTCATTGTCTCTCCCCTTCCTCTTTCATTTCCCCTCTTTCTCTTCCTGACCAATTTTGTATCGATTGCAGCATGGAGTTTGTAGCTGTACCCCTTTAAAGTACACGCATATCGATTTATACGGACATCTACCTTATCCTCATTGCATCCCGTACTGTGGCAATCCCGTCTTAGCTATGTCCTACTGCTATCTGATCCAAGGAAAATGTCTGACACTGCGAAATGATCTTCCTTATGAAATGCAATACGTTTGCGAATTCGACTGCAAGCCCATCTGTACATCGCCTTGCCCGCCCTACAAAATTTCCTGTGATCCCCATGGCACTCCTTGTCCACCAATCACCGGATGTCCCACTTATTCAAATACAAAGTCCTGTGAGCGTCAATCGCAACCCTATCCATCTGCCCAACCTGCGTCGCTATGTCAACCTAATTCAGAAACGATGTACCAGGGAGTAATGTGTCAACCAAATGTCTAAAGAAACGAATTGAATCCGCGTGTATGACAATACGTCAAGTTACGAGATATTCATGTGATATGAAGATTTATGAGGACCATTCTTGTATGGCGAGTCGTTAATCTTGCCATCGATTGAAGTCTGTTTTTACTACTTTTATTCAATTTATTTTATAGTTCTATGTTTATTGGACATAATGTATACATTTGTGAGAATAAAAAATATATTACGCATAAAAATCACTTTCCCCCTTTCTTTGCAAAAATTATTTTGTTTAATTGAAAAAATATGAAGTAGTTTTAAAAAATTGCAGTTATATCGAATAATCGATAATAATCGTATAAGATATCTGCAGTCAATAAGTTCTCATGTATATTTGATATATCTGAAATCAGTGATCAGTGATAATGTATCCTCAGTTGGTACATCATACGTAGTCTCTATTATCAAAGTATGGTTATATTTTAAATAATGTGTTATAATTTTTTGTAATGTATAATGTGTTACATAATATTACGAAATATATTTATGTATTAATAAATACATATAAATTAATTTAACATTTACGCTAATCTTCATAAATGTATATTTTCTATTCGATTTTCGAATAGAAATGTATTTTACAGTACCTTTAATGGCAATCATTTTTAAAATTAGAGGAACATAATTATATGTAATTGCTTGATGTTGTTTTTATGATAAATTTCAATTTAATAATAGCGCATGTGCAATTAAAAATAATTCCTAATTTTTATATTTTGATTTTATTATCGACTATTCTGTGTGAATATGAATCATTATATATATTAATCATATTATTTGATGGTAATATATTGAACAATCAATATGAAAATAATTGTGTATACTCACATTATCAATTATAAATTTATGTTAAGTCAATCGTACTACAGCTATGGGGGGGGGGGAAGGGTATGTTGGAGAACAGAAATATAAAATAATTTCAAGAAGAGAGAGAGAGTATAATTAAAGCATATACTTTTTAAAGTCATGTTTTATCATTGCGTGTCTATCGATAGTTAAAACCATATTTGACAATCACTAAGTTGCTTTACAGGCTTAACGCTAGCAAAAGAATGCCGTGGAAGGAAAACTTAATTAACTACTACGTCCTTTCTTAATTAAGAAAAAATGTTTGGCGTATCTCGTAGAGATTACTGCGAACGAAGTAAACTTCCGTTTGCGTTACCATCACGTTTGCTTTCTCACGATCGAAAGCCTGATCTAAAACTAATCTTGGAATTTTTTGCTAGAACATTGATGTTAGACGAATGGATTGACAGAGTACAAATGCTTATCTACATATATAATTCTCATTAAATTATTAATTCAAATCTCTTCAAGTATTTATATAGAGGTACAAATTACAATAAATGTGATGTATGTAACAATTTGAAATTGAAATAAAAATTATTTAACGAAACACTTAAAGAACAGATAATTATTAGTTTTTATCATTTGTAAATAAGTTTAATATCAACTTTTGCTATTAATCCAAAATATTGCGTTTAATGCACATGATTGAGAAAATATCAGTTCAATTATTTTATCATCTGATTATTTATATTTTATGTCTCTAATATTAAATATCAATCATTTCGTATATATGAAATACGGACGTTAATCGCATACAAAATCGACGAAAACACGACAATCTCGAGTGACAGTGTCGGAGATACGGGGTAAAGCGGATAATACACAATTTACAGGCAGTAACGTAGTGACAAGAGAAGGCAGCATTATCAGTGCCGTGGTACATGTGAGTTGACATTGTTTGAAGAACCTGAAGGCGCGCGCGCACAAACACACACACACACACACACACACAACAAACAAATACACAGACGCACAAACACATGCACACACACACACACACACACACACACACACACACACACACACACACACACACACACACACCGCGAGTCGTCGGTTGCAAGAAGCGCGATGCGAGGTTCGCAAGGAGGTAACATACCGGACGAAGGGCGTAGAGGGGTGGAGGAAGAGAGTGAGAGAGGAGGGGGCGGTAGGGGGCAGTGTGGCGGGTTCGACGGCCGGCTGGTGGCCCAGTGACCGGGACCGGTTCCCTCCGCGGTTCCTCCTTCCGCCTTCCTTGCAAACGCACAACTGCATCATCTCGACTCACCTCGCTTCGTCTCCGTCACCGTCCCCCTCAACATCCCAAGCCTGCCGTTCTTCTCTTTCTCTCTCACCCTCCCTCTTTCCTCTCGTACACTATCTTACCCTTCCTCTGTCTTTCTTCAAGACCGTCTGCCAACCCTCCGCTCACCTCCTCCTCGATCCAACCCGATGCGCGCCTTCGCACTTGCGCCTCTCTCGTCTCCTCTCGTTCATTCGACCGACCGACCGACCGGCCGGGCGGCCGGTCGACCGTTTCTCTCTTTCTCTCTCGGTCTCCCTTCATCGTCATCATATCCCGCGCGTCTCCTCTCGTCTTTCGCACGAGAAAGAGTTGCGCCACACGCGCGAAACAGCCCACCGCCTTCTTCGTTCTTCGTTGATTCTCTCTCCGTGATGCCGATGCGATGCATTTCTCTCGCTTGCACTATTTTGCCACTCGCGCGCTCAACAGCGCGTCCATCTCATCCTCTCTTTCTCTCTTTCTCACCTCGCGAAGCAGAGGTCACGCCGCGTATTCGCTTCTTCATTCTTCCTCCTCCCTGTCCTCTTTCTCCCGGCTGCCTCATCGTCGTTTCGTCGTTTCGTTCTCTTCATTTTCTTTCTATCTCGTAGCTCGTACAATGATCGGGCTGGCGAATGCGGGTGGATATGCAATTATTTATCCCACACGACGTGGGCAGTCCGCGGATAGGAGGGACGGGAGGTTATCCAAAGATAAACGAACGAGTGCCGTTTCGGTTTCGAATGGGGGCCGTAGTGCATCGTACGTCGCGACATCGCGGGGGGATCTTTAAATTCAGGATGGGCCCTGATCTCTCGAACACCTCAGTCAAGGACTTGAAAGGAAAAGTAGTTCTATGCAGAAGAAAGAGAAGCAGAGAGAAAGATAGGGAGAAAGAACCAGAGGGAGAGAGATTGTGTGAAGGAAAGAGGAAGAGACGGAGGACGAGGAGAGGTGTCGGGAAGGGAAGGAAGTGAAAGTACGACGAAGGCCTGTGTTAGTTACCAGCGCATCCGAGATTTCGTCGTGCTACCGCCTTTCTTCCGTCTTCCTCTTCTTTCTACCTCCTC